TCTTCCGGCGCACCTGGGGGGGCGGAGCCTGAGTGGCCGCAGGGCGGGGCCAGGGCGGGGCGGGGGCTGCCCGGACGCCCGCGCCAGCACTCACCCGGACCTTGTGTTCCTTCCTAGCCTGGCAGTCCTCGAGGCCCAGCGCGGCCTCTGCGCGGGACAATGAGGGTGTGGGGTCGGCCGGCCGCCCCCTTCTCGCTGTCCGCCCCTCCCTCCACGTCCCTCCCTGCTGCGCACTCACCGGGGACGGGGATGGGGCTGGCGGGCAGGAGCTCTGGGTGGGTCTCGGCGGCGCCCTCGGGCCGCCCTGGCTCCTCTCTCTGGCGGAGGAGCTTTCTGGTGCTCAGGCGGGGCAACTGGACCCGCGTCCTGGGGGGAAGGGCGGTGAGGGGGGTCGTGAGAGACAGAGCCTGTTCGCGGGAAGGGGTGGTTCCGGAGGGGACGGGGCCAGGGGAGGTGGAGGACCTGAGGGGAGTCCTGAATAGCTGGAGGGTGGTCCTGGCAAGGGCGGGCCCTGGGGAGGTGGAGGACAGTCCTAGCAGGGGGTCTGGGGTCTTTGTCGAGTCTGGGCCTGGGGAGAAGGTACGGACTGGGGGACCCGAGGTCCCCACCCCGGCCTCCGGCGCCCGGCCCGGGCCTCCTGCACCCGACCCTTGCGCGGGGGTCGAGGCAGGGGCTGCTGCTTCGCGAGGTCGGCACCGGGCCAGGCCTCTGAGAGCCGGAAACGGTCGATGGACAAGTCGGTGTTGTCGGCGAAGATCCTGCACACGGGGGTCACGCAGTGAGCGGCCTGGTGCTTGCTGAAGACCTGCGGGGCCGTGGGGGACACGGTGGTCACCTCCACCCCGCAAAGCCCGCCCTTCCCACCACCCCCGCTGGGACCCGCACTGACCTCGCCTTGGGGGTTCAGGAGGAGGGTCACGCAGCCCCGGCTGGAGTGGAAGTGGACGGGCTCCTGGCCCAAGGAGGAGGGTGGCTGCCGCTTGGTGCTGCTGGGCGCCTCGCCCCACACCTGGGGACGGCGTCGGCGGCGGGTGAGGGGTGAGGGGCCGGCGGCGGGGGGGCCGGGGCGGGGCCGCGAGGGGCGCGGGGAGCAGGGCGCACCGTGATGTGTTGCCTTGGCTCCAGCAGCGTGCTGGGCGGGAAGCGGTACATGCACACGGGGAAGTCGCGCACCAGCTGCTGCAGCACGAAGCCACCCAGGTCGGCCGTCTCCTCCAGCGACTGGTTGAGGATGCGCACGAACCTCCGGCGGTGGCTCACCGCCATGATCTTCAGGCAGGATCCCGTGGGGCTGGGGCGGGAGCACGGGCAGGGGAGCTGTGCCGAGAAGTTCGGGCCCCTCCCACCGTGGCCCCGCTAGGAGACCTGCTCCCGCCCTTGCGCTCGGGGCTGGCTCCCGTCCTCACCTTGGACAGCGCCCGTAATGCCGGGGGTGGGGATCCGCACGGGACTCAGGCTCCTGGCCATTCTTGCCCTGCCTGTCCGAGTGGGTTTTCCGGAGATCCAGGGAGAGGCGGCCTGTCCAGGCGGGGAAGCCCAATATGGAGGGTCCACTGGGGACATCTCCGGTGAGGCCAGACCTGGCCCACTGCGCCCTGAGGTTCCACGTGGGAGAGGAGCAGCATGAGGCAGGGGTCGGATCGCAGGCAGGGGAGACGGCTGGACCCAGGAGGCTGCGCGAAGCAGAGGAGTGCCTGGCAGTACTTGCTGGGGCGTGGGGGGATGTGGATTCAGGCCAGAGCACAAAAGCGGTGGCAGTCGTCCTCCAACACCACCTTAACCCCTAGGGATGTGGCTGGAAAGGGCCCAACTGCCTCAAACTGGGCTGCTGTGAAAGCCCAGAGGGTGGGGGACACCCTTTAGGACTTTGGGCAGAGATCACAGTCCCGCGGGGGTGGGAGGGGGAGAAACCAGGGGAGACACGCCCCACTCCACCTTCCCATGTTGCTCGACTGTTCCCGCAGAGGCTTTGTGCCTGTGCCTCCTTCTGCTCAGCAGTGTGGCCTGGCGCCTGGAGAGGGTCCCCTGTCACTTTCTGCACGTGGTAACGTGCAGCCAGCAGGCAGCTGCTGGACTCGGAGTCGGCACCCCCGGAGCTGCTGGTGCCCACCAGGGGCAGGGAGCTCCAC